AGTTAAAAAACACGTAACTGCTTACACACTTTTAAGCCTCACCCCTTTGTCCAGGAGACCATGTAAAAGATGCTAGCTGAGGCCAGTCACAGCAGGCAGGCTTTGAGAAAACCCGGATGACACAATTAACCACTTGGAAGTCTAATTGCTTAAGTACAACGTGACCAAAATTTCCTATTTTCATTAATTTTTGCAATAGGAAATATAAAAACGCTAATTTTATCCAATTCATTCAACACAAGAAATGACCGGCACTGCTCAGAAGTCCGAATGGAAGCAAGTGGCTGCCGAGTTGGGGCTCTGGTGAGTGAAGCCCCTGCCCCGCTGGGTGCCAGGTGCGGCAGAATGGGGCAGGCGACCAGCAGCGACTGGCCAACTTCCTAGTTTCCCAGCTCATGGCACACTTCCCTTGTCATCTCGATCAGAGGGGTCTCTTGTTGCAGTACTTCCTGGGATGGATTGAGGGTTGGGCAAGAGGCTCTGGAAGCCACACCTTCCTAGCTGCCTGTGCCAGCGTAGCCAGGCATGACACTTCCTACCCCAAGAGCGAGTGACAAGGCTGACAGTGCTTCCTCTTGGGGGATTTTCTCAGAATGACCAGATGCTTGTTTTCCTTTGGTGCTTTATGGAAACTGAGGCCCTTCCCACTGGGCTGTGTCTCAGTCCGGGATCCCCTGCCTCAGCTGAGTGCGCCACAGCGGATGCCACCGTGCCCACCTCAGAGGGATCGCATTCACAGCACTAAGTGAACTTACACTTCGTGGGTACGTGAGCTGCTCCGTGCACTCTCACCATAACCGGATGAGAAACGCACGCCCCCTGCCAGCTGAGGCCACGGGCTTTACTCAGCATGGGAACATGCAAGCTTGACGTGATTAGTAACTACGTTCACCTTCCAGAATGCCACAACTCCCATCCAATTCCCTGTGTGGTGCTCAGCAGGGTCCTGGGCTAGAGAGCAGCAGGAGGGAGAAGCGAGTGCCGGTGACAAGCCTGCGCTGGCCTCTTCTTGTCCTACAGGGTGCAAAGGTCCTGCTGACTTGGGTACGGTGCACAGGACCAGTGCTCACGCATTTGTCCAAGCTAATGTCTTCTTCTCCACACAGGTGTAAGCTGCTGTTTTGAAGGGAGGAGGTAACCAGTCTTTATAGCCAAGTCATAGGAATAGCACGCCATTTCCAAACACCAGAGTCACACAATGCCAAGTGAGAACTGAGGCCACAGGCCAGATGCACTTCCGTGTCACCTTCCCTGACTGTGCAAAGCTCTGCAGCATTTATTTCCCGCTTTCTCCAACTTCTGCCAGTACCAAGGCTGACCAGAGCACTTCTCAGCGGTGAGAGGACTTAGGTGAGGACAGCTCACACTTGCACGCGCCTGGCTGCTGCTCTGAACCCATCTCAGGCCTACGGCAGTACCATATGCATCATCATCATGCCCAGCGCACAGAAGGTAAGCAACCAAGGCCCACAGGAGGGAGATATTGAGAACCTGACAGGCTTGAGACTCTTTGCCGTCTTACTGGGACACTCTCCTCAATATCCAATACTGTCTACAGCTTTTATGCTACAGTGGGGGGGGGGGGCGCGCCTGCAGCCTACAAAGCCTGTCGGGTGCAGTTCGCCGCTTCTTACCCATCATCTCTGGGGAACTAAATTTTAACCCACAGCAAATGATTATTCTGTTGAGACAGGGTCTCTTCACATAGCTCAGGCTGGCCTCAAACTCAAAAGTGATCCTTCTGCCTCTGCCTCTTACAAGAAGCTGCTCAACAGGGCACAAATGCATGCTCAATCAAAAAATATACAAAGATCTCACATCACAATGGAACACACTCATGAAGGTATTACATTTTGTTGCCTTAACTGGAATTTAAAAAAAAAAAAGTGTTTTGTAGTGTTTAAGAGAAAAATCACTGTGTACCACTTTTTTTTTTCCTTTGCTGAACTGGGGATTGAACTCATGCCTTTGCACTTGCCAGGGAAGCGCTTATTCCACTTGATTCCACTGAGCCATCTCCCCGGCCCTAGAGCATTTTTAGAAATTCATTTTTAAGCAGCAAATAATTTAACTGTGACTCTCCTGCAAAGTGTAACCACTTACTCATTACTATGCAAGTGCACACAATGTGTAAGCAGGGACCAGTGGAGCTCGGGACGGCCTGAAGGCTACCTTTTGCCCCCGAGAACTTGCAAGTGCTGCCCAGGATGCCCGAGCGTCCTCCCAGCTGTCACCTTCCTCCTACATATAATATGCAGTGACCGCAATTCTAGGACCGAGTCTGCTGAGGAAACGAGACAAGGTCACTTGACCATCATTCCTGTGCAGCAGAGAGGCAAGAAAATTCTATACAACAAAGAGACAGTAGACTATTTCATGTAACAAAACTCCCGAGCAGAACACAGTAGGGCTGAGTGACACAATCACTGGCTCCTTAGCCCTTTAGGTTGCCTATTCAGCTCTCCAAACAGGTGATCACTCAAGGTAATTCAGATCACACAGTACAGTACTTAAAGACTGCCAGTACACACAGCCCTCTTAGGTACTGAGACCACATACATGACTTCTAGAGTATTTTGCTTTCAATTTACAGTTCAAAAAAGAACTCCAAATTAGCTATGCTAAGGGGTTCTGATACTTGTGCATACTAACTTGTTAAAAAAAGTTTTAGAGCGTTGGGGAAGTAGCTCAGTGGTCTAAGCACCTGTCTGGAAAGCACAAGTACCTGGGTTCAATCTCTGGTACCACACACTTTGCTAGCTTCAGAACCCCAGGCGTGCCGTGCCAGCCCCAAAACTGGGCATGGTGGTGCATACTAGCAATCCCAGCGCCAGGGAGACTGAGACACAAGGATCACTGAGTCTGAGCTGTGTAGCAAGAACCTATACACATATATAAACAGATTAAAAAAAAAAAAAAAACTTAGAAAATGTAAGAGTCACACACATTTATTTCCTTCGAGAAATAGCTGCGATTCACAAACGTACCATTAGTTGCTGACAGGAGGCCACTAACTGTTGTACAAAAGCCAAGGGGGAAAAACCTGTAAATTTTCATCTTACATAGACAGAACAAAGTATTAAAAATGTTTCTCTGGGCAGTTACAAAGACTTGTTCACGGAACATCACTGCACGGTCAGTCCTGAAGCCTGGGTTTCCCGAGCACCTCTCGGTAGCAGCCTTCAATGCCCACCTACCCACCAAATTGATTCCATACGCCTTACACCTTCTACTTCCATTAGAGTAGATGGAGTCAGACCACACTCAGGCGACCTCCTGCGCTCTCCGGCCCTCGCTCCAGGCACATCCTGATTGTCCCTCCAGCACTGGGCTGGAAGAGGGCGGTTCTGGCTCCCCAAGTGCTGACACTGCTCTGTGTCACTGGGCTCTACACAAAGCTCCTGCGCTCCCAAGGGCCCCACCACCAGAACTCGTAACACTGCAGTCCTCCTCCTGGTTGTTCTCTCCTAGTGCAGGACTGGACGACACCTGTGTTGCTCGAGGTGGAAGCTTCAGTCTGTGCACTGGCGCTTTGCTCTCTAAGCAAAGGCAGAAAAGGGCTGTGATACTTCCACTCCGGTTTCCACTTGCCTCCTACAGGACACGGTATAAAGCAGCTCCAGCCATCGCCACACCTCTCAGGAGTCCCGCGGACCCTGCTGGAGGCAGTGACAGCACCGCGAGGGAAGCCACTGGAGACCTGGCACCTCCCAGAGTCCTGCACACTGCAGAGTGGACATGCGCCAGCAGGGAGCTGCTAACCAGTGAGCCGCTGAACAAAACCCATTCTATTTTTCATTCCATTTCATATTTGGTTTAATAAAGTAATGCAAATCATTTAAAGAAAAAACCTTTAATTTTAAATTCTGGTCTATGCATAAAATTCATTTTTGTATCACGGTTTAGTACAAACTATAAAAATGTTAACACTGAAGTTTTCAACAGAAATCTATCAAGATCCCTTAGAAAAATTATTTAAAGAAACAGCAAGTCATTTACTGCTGAGGTTAATACATAAAGAAAAAAACATTCACACACTTTACTAAAATTTTCAGTAAATAATTTCAGCCATAATTCTTACCGCAAAATTAAAAGTTCCAAGGTTGTGTGTGGCTCTAAGTGAGTACAATTTGTAAAGAAAAGAGCAGGCCGAATCTATTCGCTTTAATCAGAACAATCCTAGTTTGAAACAAAACAAAAACTGGTTGAAACCTGTAAAAAGCATACCAACTGTGAACAGAACGGATGTATTATAACTTAGCTTAAATTAACGGAGGACAGTAAAAACTAGCTTTTAAAGTTGGATTGCACAATGAAAGCAGATGAAAAAACATTCAGAGCCACAGCCATTACTTTAAAAAAATATCAGATCATTCTTATAGTAAACATTAAATGAATCAAAGCCAGACAGTACTGAGTTTTTACACAAGCTTCTTTTGTGTTTCATGTTGTTTATTGAGGCGTGAATGAGAGACTACTGCCAGACATGCCAACGACACTTCACATTCCAGGGGTTGGAGGCCGAGAGCCTCCTCTCGAGGCTCTTGGTTACCGCATCCTAAGCCTCTTGGGGACAAGGACCAAAAGTAGCGGCAGATGTGGCACCCTCATGCTTGCTGCTTGGCATCAGCTCTGCTTTCCTTTCTGCATCTACTGGTGGGCTGGGCACGATTCTCCTACCCCATGCATGGACTCACTCTCCAGCAGAAGGAACTTGAGGTGTGCAGAGCTGCCTGCACACACATCTACGCTAGTGATGCTACAGCTGTCTATCCTCATTTTCCCTATGTCTGATAAGAAAGCTTCATGTTTTCCCTTTTCCCCTCACGGGAGTGTGGTATCCCAATAGAAAAATACTCTGCAGTGCTACTATGGGGCTCACAGGGAGCTCCGCCCATGGTGGGAGCAACCCATGGCAGCTCCAGTCTGCACTCGCGCTCTCCAGAATGGCCTACACACAACACTACTGTTCTCTTGCTCAAAAACAAAACAAAGAAACCTAAACAAAAGGGTAAACGTTTATTTGGAGTTAGTTTTCTGGTGGGTGATATTAAGGCCTTCAAGCGGAGTTCAGGAGCTCATGTATGGCCGCCCGCTGCTCGGGACTGAGCTGAGAGAGGCATTCAGTCCACAGTCCTCCAGAAGTCTGGGGAAGAAGAGAAGTAACAGAGACCCGGATCACTGGAGGGTTTTGGTAACCACCACGCAGACCAGTCACCCACAACACTGTGCTCTGTCTGAGGAACACTACTGTGAAAGTAAGACATCTGTTAACTTCTTCAAAGGACTTTCCCTTTACAGAAACTTCTCTTCATTTCTTCTGGACAGAGCTATAGTAGCAGATGATAGCTTCAAGTAACCTATACACCACATAAATTCAGGGAGGAAATCTTGGCCATTTTGGGTTTGATAACATTAAACTGCACCTTTTCATTCAGATATGCATACAAGCATATGCTAGCCACCAACCATCAAAGTGTCTCAAATTTCAGGTGAAAATTTTAATCAAATAAGGAGAACACATGAACACTTTCTGAAACAAAATCCATCTGATGTCTGGAGACAAGAATATAGAAACAAAATTTTCTTTAAAACATAGAATTGGGGCGGAGGGCTAGAAAAGTGATTTTCCTTTCTGCTAATTCAGCCAAATCAACTTACCTGTACCTGGCGAACGACATTAGCCAAACGTTTGGCACATGGGTCTTCATGTTTAATGGCCTCATGCATTTCTCCTTCTGCAATTATACTGAATATTTTGGGCAGATTGGTATTGTTTGGGCCAAGAACAATTGGGTGATTGCTGACAAAAGAAAAAGAAAAACCTTCTTAAATGGAATTTCGAAGGAGCAATCACTCACGCTCTCGTATCATCATATCCCCCCCCGTAAAGTGATGCATTCACCAAAAGCAATTGCCTTTTAAACTCCACAGGAACACAACCCACTAACTGCACATATACAGTTTCTTCCTATGTAACAGTAATCTCCCAGGATTATTTTAAGGACTAAACTACAATTGCAGCTGGGCGTGGTGCTGCACACCTGTGAGATCCAAGTACTCTGCATGCAGGCTGAGGCAGGACTTCCAATGGGTTCAAGGCCAGTCTGGACTACATAGTGAGAACCTGTCTCAAAGCCAATCCACCCCCCACCCCCCACCCCCGCGGCAAGAAGCTCCAACAGAATGGCCTATTCGAGGCCACCCTGGGTTACAAAGTGAGCTCTAGATCAGCCTGAACTGCATAGTGGAAAACCAGAAAAACAAACAAAAAATGAGATAGTGAAGAATAAATTTCTTAAATTAATCCTTTTATGCTTAGTGTTCCATTTATGGAATTCCTCTAAGAACACAGCAAAATTTCAAATTCTTGTGCCTTTAAGTTTTCTAGGTAAATATGAATTTCATGCAAAAATTCAAAAAATCACAATCTTCAGCATAAATGGGTTAGATGGTTTCTTCCTTCACTTTTTTTCTCCTTGTTGAGACAGTCTGTCACTGGGCGTACAGCCTGGCCTTGAGTTTCCTATGTAACCCAGGCTAGCCTCTAACTCATGGTGATCCTCCTGCCTGCTTTTCCTGAATGTGGGGATTACAGGTGGGAACCACCATACCTGGCCAGGCAGTTTCTAAATACAGCTTGGAGTCCAAAAAGATTACATGAGTATGTCAAGATTAAGCTGGGAAATAAAAACCAGGCAGATTTAACAAAGAGGTCTTATTGTGAAGTAGAGCGAGTTCTTATCTGAGTCTTCACGGCACTTCAGGGGATCACTTCCAAGGAGGTGATCACGCGCCTGCCTGTGCAGTGCTCACTTCCGACCAGCGACCGGCGGCAGGGTGCTGTGGGTGGAGCCTGTCACAGGCCACAGCATTCCTGAGCCTGCTACAAACCCCAGAGGTTGGAAGCCTTGGATTAGTTTGTGAGCTAAGAACAGTAGCCAACAGGGACAAAGCCAGGAGTAAATGAATATTGCAGGGAATATGGACCGAGAACAGATCCAAAGAAAACGGCTTTCACCTGAAAGCTTCTCTAGCCAGCACACCCTGCGGTTCTAGCGTAGTGGCCAAGGGAACACCACATGAATGCTATTGTCGCCAGTGCCTCACGCTGAGCTTAATTCTATGAAGAACCGGGTGTGGTGGTGCTTGCCTGTAACCCCAGCACCTGGGAAGCTGAGGCAGGAGAATCACTGTGAATTGGAAGCCACTCTGAGGTAGAACTACAAATGAAACCTATCTCAAACAAGACATAATTCCATAAAGAAGAATTCTAAACTAGTTATTATAAAGACAAAATCTGAGCCATAATGTGGTTTCTTAACACGATTCTAAAGGCAGCCTTTTATCAACCTATGCATCCAGGATACAGCCCGAGCCTGGCGGGGTCCAGCCTCACAGACTGAGCTCACGGGGCAATGCAAGCGAGCATGCTCCTGCGGCGGGGGCGTGCAACACCTTCTCACCTTTCAATCAGGTCACAGAGATAGCTAAAAGTCTGAACTGCTTCTTCTTTGTCTTCGTGGAGCGGAAGCCACGACAGCCAGTGTGGCAGGATCTCCTCCACATTTACGCAGTCAGGCTTGAACTTCATGATTTTCCCTACTGCTGAGATGCAGTTCTCCGTAGCATTGACGTTTTCTTTGGTCTTAGAATCTCCAGACTGAATAACTCTAACAAGCAGTGGAAGAGCTTCTAAAATAAAACATTTTTAAAAAAAGTCAAACCTGTTTTCTTGCAAATGAATATAAATATGTATTCCACAAAGATTAGTATTTTGACCTTTGGTCCAGCCCTTGCTAATGGTGAAAAAGGCTAACATGTAAGCTGAGTTCTGTGCTTCTAGCTTCACCAGTGCAGGGTGGTCACAGAGGACTCCGGCCCAGTGCAGCCGGAGCACAAATGTCCTCAAAGATCCAGAGAGCTGCTGCTCTTGGGCAGAGCCGCAGCCACCCCAGGGCACCTCAGCTGAAAAAGCTGCTGTGTTCTCCTGTGAGTACGAGATTTTCCCTTCAGGACTGGGGCTCCTTTTGAGGCCTTTGCCATGAGCTACATCCCTAATCCTTTTCTGTTGTTGTTTCCTCCATCATTTAATCTCAAACTAGTACTCTGGGTGAAAGTCTCTAGAACAAACTTTTACAATGACTAGTGACTTAAGGATTAGGGTACAACCTTGTAACACATGGCAGTCAACAGTGAGTGGCCCTGGGCCATTTTATTACTTGGTCCCTGAACCTCAGTTGCCTCATGAATAGTACCTACTTCAAACTGATGATTAAATACAATAATGCAAAAAACAGTATGTGCCGGGGCCACGCTATACCCCCAACAAATGCCAGTTGTCAGCTGCCATTATTCACATGCCCATGTCACCATAGCGAATGGAAGGTTTAACAGAAAAATGTGTTTTAGCCCCCAGGACATGAGCTGCCCAGTTTGTCCCCAGGTGTTCCATCCTGGACAGCTGCTAGGTGGCTTTCATCTGCAAAACAGAAAAGCCTTCTGAGCTGTTTGGGTAGAAGACATCAGCATTTAATTGTCCAACCTGATAGACCTAGATGCATTCTCGTCGATGTAGAAGGCTCTGCTGGGGGTGGCGGAGAAGCCAAGTCCGGCTCCCAGTTGTACTTCCAGCTCATGGCCTGGTCATAGTCCCGCTGCAGCGTCTTCTTCACTTTGCTTGCTGAGGGCCATGAGGGGCCTTGTGGTCATGCACGGGGAGCAGCTGACCAAAGGGGACAGATCCTTAAAGCCACCCGTAAGTTTGAGAAATTTCAGTTTTTGTTCCTTGTTTTCAAAATTTGCAGTATCCCATTGGCCAAACTGGGTTCCCGTCCACTGCCTGGGTTCAGCTGCTTCTGTCTTGCCTGAGTCCCTATCAATCTCTTCCTGCAAGGACTTTCACCTCACCTGGCCTATGTGTGCCTTGTCCATGTTGCCTTCTCCATCAC